TATATATATATATATAAATAAAATGCCAAATGCATTAAAAGAAAGAAATAAAACAAGAACAAAAACTAAGTGATAGCTACCCTATCACTTTCCTCCTTTAACAAAGAATAAAAAATAGGAGGAACCTTATTGACTTCTAAAATGTCCCAAAAGAAATCCCCTTTCAAAGCATAGTTAGCACACCAATGAGCTAACTTATTACAACTTCTATTAACAAAATGAAATATAATTACCTCAAACTCCTTAAGAAAGTACAAGTCCTCTTTCTTAGAACTGTCCACTGCTTGGTTGTCAATAATAACCGAGTCCTGTAAATATTTGATAATATTAAAGTTGTCTCCTTCAACAATTAAGCCTTTAGCATTCAACATCTAGTTCTTGATAACTCTTCTCAATGAACGGAAAGCCAATAACTCCAAGTATCCAATGTCCCAATGCACCACCGAGAATCCAAAGGATAGAAGCATCCTTCCTCTATGATCTCTAAATATGCCTCCAATCCCTGCTTCATTAGAGTTAAGTAAAGAAGCATCTATGTTCACTTTAAGCCATCCGTGTGGAGGGGGATGCCAAGTCGAAGAAATCAGCTTATACTACTGGTTATCACCCCAGTGGTCCGAATAAAGATTAGAAGATGAAGTAGATGCATAGGTGACAACATTAGTCACAATAAGTTCGTCTCCCAGCTCTTGGCCTTCATGAATTAGCTTGTTCCTACTTTTCCAAGAATTGAACACCAATGCACAATACATTCTTGCAATAAATAGATCCTCCTCTCCTTGCTTTTTCAAAAAATATAAGCAATATTGTAAATTGTTAAAAACTGGTAAAGCAAAACCCCATCAGTTAGCCTTTTGAATTACCTGTTTTAACTTCAAACATTTCACCGCCACATGCTCTCCATCTTCTTTCATATCACAACCTCTTGGACAAAGGTTGCTCCCAATTAATCTTCTATGCATTAATAAATCCGTTGTAGGGATAGCATTCTTCAATAATTTCCACCAGAAAAATGAAACCCGAGGATTGAGTTTCAGATTTTTGAAAAAGGGAAACAATATTGGAAAGCAAAATACAACTAACAAAATATGAAGTGGGATGATTATTTCTTATTGAAAAAGAAAATAATTTAATCAAATCCACCTTCAAGAAGAGTTAGCACATGTCACTTAATGGAATAGTAACATAAGATGCCACCAAGCTCATAACTTCATGAGAAGAAGATATTGACAAAAAAAAAATTATAAACGAAAGAAAAAGGTGAATGAGGGATATAGTATGAATACTTATTCTTTAACACACAAAAAAAGAATTTTTCAAGTAATAACCCCGCAAAAAGAGTTAGCCAAGGTCACCAAATCAAGGAGAAACATAAGAATCCCTAAGCCTTAACTTCTAACATTTATATCTAGAATATAATGATGAAGCTCTTTAGCAATTTATCTAGCTCTCGCCTCATCTTCAAAATAGCATACAAGATTTTGAGTTGTTTTTGAACGCTCATGACTTGTGTGATGAACATCTTCTTTAACTTAGAGAAGGAAGTAATGATGCTTAAGGGTAAGCCAAAAATAATCAAAGAATGAATTCATTGAGCTTATTTTTTATTGCCATCAGCAAGAATAGTGAATAAAAGTATGTGATGTTGTTGGCCTGATTAGATCTTACTATGTATAAATATGAGTACATTTTTTAACTTGGCAGATGGCTTATACTCTATAATTTTTCTAGAAAATGCATTGGTCAACTTTACATCTTTTCTCTTAATTATCCTATGTAAAGGAGTATATTCTTCATCATTAGTGTAATTGTGACAACAAACAATAACTGGTGTTCAAGTCAACGCTTTAATGTGAATAGCCAAGTAAAAGGATCCCACGAGAGTATGCTCTAAGGGCACCCCTCTGAACTTGCCCTAATATCGTAAGAAGGTCTATGAAGGTAAATACCCTAGATAACTGGTGTGTCCCTCCGGGCTAGTAACAAGTCTTCTAAATGAGTGTTCCAAGTAATTGGCTATGTGTGGGGATGAATATAGTTGATGGAGCTATGATTGTGTCTCTATATGTTTTTGAATCCTTTAGCTTGGACAAGGATATCTTTAGAAAGCATATGACATTGATTGTAGAGAACCTATGAAAGATAAGAGTCCTCACAAGGCGAGTGATTTTTCGAGTAAAGGTGTTGCTAAGGCATGTTCTTTGGTCAAACTTGCTTGAAATATGTATGTGTTTGATTGAGCTCTTAGGGACAAGAACCTATAATGTGAGCTTGATCGTGGTCAATACCTAACTATCTTTGACATTGCTCTGCTAAGTGCTTCTTAGGGAAAGGCTCATTTTGGGCAAGTGCACCTCTTGATGGTGCTCCTCAATGATTAACTTATTTATTACCTACAAGTTTCCTATATCGTTTTGGGAAAGTGCACCTGATCTAGAACTAAATTCCAACTGTTTCAAATAGAGTTCAAGCTAAGTTCAAATTTATTCAAAATGGGTTCGAAGATGTTTAGCAGTTGGAGACCCATGTCACAAACCCCCTCTTCTCTTTAGTCGTTGCCCTCCCGTCACATGCTACCACTCTTGTGACATGTCGTCACTCCCAAACATGTCTTCAAGCAAGTCACACATCATTAATGGTTTGCATAGCAAACCTTGTTCAAACAAAGTTTGACCTAAGGTCAAAGTTGTTCAAAATGACTTCAAAGATGTTAAACAATTATAGATACAGGTTGCAAAACCCATTTTCTCTTCACTCATCGCCCTCCCATCACATGCTACCACTCCTATGACATGCTGTCGCTCCCATACGCATCTTCAGGCCATTAATGGTTTATCTAGTGATCTCCTATTAGTTTTAATCATTCCTAATACATGTCATAGATGACTTCTCTATTTTCTAGCAAGCTTGTCTTGCTAATCACTCTTCTGCTTCACACATTTTCAGACATGTAGACACCGTATTTAGCAAGCTCTCATTGTAAACACCTCTTTCATTCAAACACCCATCGACAACATTCTTTAGTAATTTCCCATTGTGAACAACTTGTCTCCTGTCACATGTTGTCGCTCCCATCAATGCCTTCCCGCCCGATCTCATATCCCACTTCTTGATCACAAACAATGACGTTAGCCATTTGATTCCAATTTGGAATAGTGCAGTTAAAAATCTTCATAAACTACTCAGTTTGATTTCATGTTCGAAGAAATATTCAAATTCAAATAATTTTGTATCAAGTTCATTGGTTATAGAGAAACCCACAAATACAAGTGAAAGATTTTAATTAAAAAAAATCAATTATATTTCTCTTAAGAAAATATAAAAATTCTTATATTCAAGTTTCAAGAGAAGTGTTTTAGAGTGTTCTATAAAAGGAAATGAGTTAATAATACCTATATTTAAGTCATTAAGATTATGTATGTAAGAGCTATTACTTGTATTCAAACATAATATGGTTTGACCAAGTATTTTTCCAATTTAAGTTAGATTACATCAAAGAACAGCTTTAAGCCCATATCTTTTTTGCTCTAGGCATGGATGTTCTTACTAAACATTTGCAAGAGGATTTACCCTGATGTATGCTTTTTTGCTATTAATATTCTTCTTTTTTATAAGACTAGAATGGAGTTAAATGAAAACTATAATTATGGAGGTCAATTTTAGAGTCCAAAGTTTTTCATTTGATAAATCTAAAACATAATACATTGAGTGTAATTTTAGGACAAATAAATCTAGCAGGAAGATTGTGACTTTGGGTGATCAAGTCATTATAAAAGATTATATGTTTTAAATATCTTGAGTCTATTGTTCAAATTGATGGTTAAAAAGATGGAGATATTATTAGTAGAATTCAAGTTGGATGGTTGAAGTGGAGGAATTCGAGAGTGTTGTGTGATAGAAAAGTACTCATCAAAGTTAAGGAAAAATTCTATAAGGTGGTGGTGAGACCTGCAATGCTTTTATGTTGTGAAATGTTGGCCCTTAAAAAATAAGCCTAAAAGCTGTTGGACCTGATGATATTCCAATAGAGATGTGGAAATGCTTAGGAGATGAAGGAATTTCTTGGCTTACTAAACTTTTTAATACTATTTTGAAGACTAAAAAGATATCATATGAGTGGAGAATGAGTGTGTTAATTCTTATCTTTAAGAATAAAAGTGATACACAAGAGGGTGCAAATTATAGAGGAGTTAAGTTAATGTGTCGTACTTTAGAATATGGGAGTGAGTAGATTACGGCGTGATACTAATGTTTCTCAAATTCAATTTGGATTCATGTTGGGTATGTCTACTATGGAAGCCATACATTTATTGAGAGGTTTGATGGAGAAATATAGAGAGAATAAGGAGGTTCTATAAATGATATTTATTGATTTAGAGAAAGTTTATGATAAAGTTCCAAGAGAAGTGCTATGGAGAGTTCTTGAAAAGAAAGGAGTTAATAATGCTTATATTCAAATCATTAAAGATATGTATGCAGGAGCTATTACTTGTGTTCAAACACAAGGTGGTTTGACCAAGTATTTTCCTATTTCGGTTGGATTACATCAAGGATCAACCTTAAGCCCATGTCTTTTTTGCTTTAGTCATGAATGTTCTCATTAGACATTTGCAAGAGGATGTAGCTTGGTGTATGTCTTTTGCTGATGATATTCTTCTTGTTGATAAGACTAAAGAGGGAGTTGAAGGTAAACTTGAATTATGGAGGTTAACCTTAGAGCCCAAAGGTTTTCGCTTGAGTAGATCTAAAACTAAATATATGGAGTGTAATTTTAGTAGCAATAGACCTAGTGATGAGATATTTTAGATCTAAAAATGTGTACTCTTTGTGCGATCAAGTTATTAATAAGAGTACACATTTTAGATCTATTGTTCAGAGTGATAGTGAAATAGATGGAGATATTACCAGCAGAATTCAAGTTGGATGGTTGAAGTGGAGGATGCATCGGGCTTATTGCGCGATAGAAAAGTCCCCCTCCAACTTAAGGGAAAATTCTATAAGATGGTGGTGAGACCTGCAATGCTTTATGGTGCCGAATGTTGGCCATTAAAAGAGAAGCATAATATTAAGTTAAGTGTTGCAGAGACGAGGATGCATAGGTGGATGAGTGGCTTTACCATTCGAGATAGGATACGAAATGAGCATATACATGAAAATATTTGGAGTAGCTCCGGTGAAAGATAAGATTATAGAGAGTTGCCTTAGATGGTTTGGTCACATTAAACGGAGGCCTTCCGATGACCTGATTAGGAAAGTTGAGGTTTTAGATTTGTCTTATGTTAAGAAAGATAGAGGTAGACCTAAAAAGACTTGGTTAGAAAATATAAGAAATGATCTTTCTTTATTAGATTTATGTGGGCTCCGAAAATTTGGCCTCGGCCTCCATTCGCTTTTCTTATTCGGCGAGGGAGTTTTAACGAACTAAGTTCCGAGGTAAATTTTGGAAGGCAGATGGGTTTGTAGATAAGACACTACCCAGAGATTTCGCCCTCATTTTGCGAGGACTTTATGATCTGAGTTCTGGTTTCCTATAGGCGCAAGCCCCTATAGTTAATTACCCCTCCCGATCACGAGAGAGAACTTTCGATTAAGGCTAGTCTTCGATCAGATACGTAGAATATACGTGTATCTGGCATATAGTAGCAGCAATAGGTCTGGATTTGAAATGTTTGAAAGGTTTGGAATTTGAAAGGTTTGATATTTAAAATAGAAATTTTCACCATCTTGTACTTAAAGCGGATGG